GTTAGAATGCTAACTCATGAAATCCGAAGCACTCTTGATAGACATACTATTCTAAAGACTACATTGGTTGAGCTAGGAAGAACATTGGCCTTAGAAGAGTGTGCATTATGGATGCCAACACGTACTGGAGTAGAGCTTCAACTTTCTTACACTCTACGTCATCAAAATCCAGTTGGACTGACTGTACCTATACAACTTCCTGTAATCAACCAAGTTTTCAGTACAAACCGTGCCGTACAAATATCACCAAATTCTCCTGTTGCAAAACTTCGACCTACTGGGAAATACATGCCTGGTGAGGTGGTTGCTGTCAGGGTTCCGCTTCTGCATCTCTCAAACTTTCAGATTAATGATTGGCCTGAACTTTCAACAAAGCGCTATGCTTTAATGGTTTTGATGCTTCCTTCAGACAGTGCAAGACAATGGCATGTCCATGAGCTGGAACTTGTTGAAGTGGTAGCTGATCAGGTTTGATTTTTCTATTGGAATTCCATAGCTGAGTTGTTATTTGTATTATTGGTATTATAAATTGGAATTGCAGAGCTGAATTTTTTATTAGTAAATTGTTATTATAAATATTTTCAAAGATGAATCAGCAGGTGAATTATGACTTTATATATCTTTCATCTGTTGATTGCTTTTCGGTGAGTGAATAGTTAAGCTGGTTGTGGATGTGTTTATTGAGTGTATCTTAGTAGATTTTCTGCTAGGACCTTAACTCCCATTGGATTTTGCTTTCATAGCTGACATGCTGTATTAGAAGCATAGGAAGTAGGATCTATGGTATATAAAGATATTATGAACTGCCATTCTGAATTAATTGAGTAGTCCTTTCTTGGTACATAAAATTCATTATATGTAGTTTTTTAAGTACTTCTATCATATGAAGTGAATCACTTCTGGGGTAATGTATTTAAGTGTATAAAAGTAAATACTACTGAGTTGCTACAAAAATGATTTTTCAACAGAGCTGTTTCAAAATTTTACATATCTGGCATCTTACTTCTTCATCAGAATCACTAGCAAGTGGCAAGCCTAGTCTTAGCTTAACTCATTAAATAATCATGATATTTTTTCATTTACAAGCGACGTGTCCAAGTTTTACTGTTTTTGCTCTTTGCCTTGTACGATATTCAGGAATTTTTACTTTTTCTTCATTCTTAAGAATTATTACCTTTGTCTCTGGTTCCTGGATTTCCAACAGATATTCATGGAAAACACAACTCAATCAACTTGGCCTCAATCTCAAATTAGTTAGGGTCTGCGATATGAAACCTCTATATCTGTTCCACTCCGACAGAGGCCCAGAAATCAGATTTCAAGTAAATTCGTCATAGTTGGACTATTTTTAGGTTTGCTGTTAAGTGTTAACCAGCCGTAATCCTCATTTGTCTGGACTTGCCACCAGATATTATGCATTCATGGTGGAAAATATGACAATTAGTATAAGAAAGGGACAACAGAGGAAAAGACATTCATGTCGAATCCCTCTCCCCTTACCCCCCCGGCGCTCCTGACCAAAACACGTTCTTTTCTTTCTTGGAGAAAAGCCTCTGGAAACCCTCTGCCTCCTTTCTCCCGATTTTGGTATTCTACTTCTAGACATAGGAAAATACTCTTTTCTAGCTGTTAGCGTCTGGTTGCAACTAGTTTTAGGTGTGTGTGTGCCTATTTAATTAACTAAGAGCCCAATCTTGAGTGCCCAGTGTGATTTAATCTACGCCTTGTCATTCAGGTTGCTGTTGCTCTCTCACATGCTGCAATTTTAGAAGAATCGATGAGGGCTAGGGATCTTCTTATGGAGCAGAATGTGGCTCTTGATCTGGCAAGAAGAGAAGCTGAAATGGCTGTTCGTGCACGTAATGATTTCTTGGCTGTTATGAATCATGAAATGAGAACTCCCATGCATGCGATAATTGCACTTTCTTCGTTGCTGCAAGAAACTGATCTAACTCCGGAGCAACGTCTGATGGTTGAAACAATCCTCAAGAGCAGCAATCTTTTAGCGACACTGATCAATGATGTCTTGGATCTTTCAAGGCTAGAGGATGGAAGTCTTCAACTTGATATTGTCACTTTTAATCTTCATGCTCTATTCGGAGAGGTGACCCCC